GGTAGGAGGAAGGGATTCTAATTTAACCCTCCCACTGCCTGCCATTTTTTTATATCCGTTATATATCGGAGCTCGTTGCGATTGGTACAATTCATGTCACCTGCCTTGCGATACAAATTCAAAATGAATTGTTCGCCGTTTGAAGCGATAGTTGTTTTATCTGCTTTGTCTTGCAGAAAAACTTCACTTAGCGAAAGCAAATCCGGAGATTTTTTCAATGTGGTCATTGTTTTCATCTTGCCTAGGTTGAATGGTGCCGACGTTGTGTCGCAACCACTAACCGCGTGCAAAAATAAAAGGTTTTTTGCGGCATTCGGCCCATATATCGGTTTGAGGCTGTATGGGCTATATGTAGCGTCCGTCGATTTGCCTCGGCCAGGTTTTCTCAAGTAAATGTTGTTGCACGCGCCAGCTGTTGCAGTCAGCAAAACCAGCAAATCCACATCCTCACCAATAACAACCGCAGCACTATATTCCTGCAAAATTCTCTTAGCCGTACTGATAATTAGACTATCCGCATCCTCTACAGCTTGCTCCACCTCTATGTCTGATTTGATTAGAACCGTTTTCAGTAGTGAGATGAATCTGGTCTTATTGCTCTCGTTGCCTAAAAACTTATCTTGAGTTGCGGTGAGGGTCATATTGTCGGTGAAAATGATATCCACACGTTCTGTCTAATCATATTAAAATCTGCTTCTGGCGCGTCACGACACGCCACGACACGTAAGTGTGTTTCCGACTTTACTCGCACTAATACGCAACAGTGTGTCTGTGGATACACGTTGCGACAATGGCGCGGATTTCGCTCGGTAAAGTAATCTATAACTCCGAAGGTATTGGCATTACGGAAAAAAGCTTAAGAACAAAATTGTTCATAATTAAAAGATCTACACTTCGATGATCGGTAAAATTTAATAAAATTGAATGGTTGGGGAGAAAACGACGAAAAATGGAAAAAAAAGTAAAATTTTTGCCTTGCGGGAGTAATAACTTGAAAAATATTAATGTTATAAAAAAAAGTTTCAGATAAAAAAGTTAGTAAATTTAGTTAGGAAAAGAAAAGGTCTCTACAATTTTTCGCCTAACACTAACCATTCTCGAGATATCGAATTAAACGCGTTTCCATCGAAATGACCTTGAGCTGACCTCAGTACAACCCCTCAAATTGGAATTTATGCTCAGAATACACCCCCCTATCGATCCTCAAAATCCCCAAACTGTGTTCGCTCATGTTTATTTAACCCGTTTTTAGCCATAATTTGACTGGACTATTTTGCCAGTTTTAGACTTCGTTATTTATCAAAATTAAATATTAATTGAGTTATAAAATTTTCTTACGACATATCGCGTGTATGTACATGATGACGCATGACACCGGTTTCAGTCCTATATTCATAATAATTAGGGATGCATCGATACGGCTTTTTGCCGATTCGATACCGATGCCGATACTCTTATAGAAATAACGTCGATACCGATACCAACGCTTATTGAATTAAAATTAAATTAAGGTACAATATATGAAGTTTGGTTAGTTTTTAATTTTTATTAAAAAATATAAACAGTCACAAACTTTTAATAAGATTAAAGGTTTAGTTATTAATATTAAAAATTATGATAATTAATTAAATTAAAATAAATAACTGTTAGTAAATGAAATTAACATTGATAATATTATTGTAATTCCGTATTTTATTTTAATTTGGTATCGAAAAAATATTACGCGCGATTGCAGTTAAAAGTCATCTAATGTGTGTAACGAAATGGAATACATGAAGACAAAGCGGGTGAGAGAGACAACAAACTGAATAAAACGCGGGGAATCCCCGGGCATAGATAGTCCGTGCCTCGTTTGCAATTTTTAAAGCGCTTAAAGTATCGTTGTATCGGCCATTAAAGTATTACAGATGCCGATATATGGGCAAACCGGGATATATCGGGATCGGTATCGGATGTATCCCTAATAAAAATACTTAACTCGTCTAGAGATATCTTAGGCTATTACTTAAAATGAAAAATAACTTCCCCAATGCTTTGCTTTCTACTCACGCTCTGATTGAAATTGAAATACATAACCAAGAAAATCGTAACGCCTACATCGTAGCTGAAAACAAGTGTTTTGTTTCAAACACGTATGATGGATTTTCCAGCACTTAGTCCCATCAAGATAGCAAATGTTCGGCCGAATGGCCACAATAGTCTGACACAAATAATTGTTATGAGAAACGAAGAGCTACGCTATTTCCCACCTTACTACTTAGGTATTAGAAGACATTGTCAATTGACGAGCATTCTAAGATTTATTGTTTGTTGTCGTATGAAACGAATCGTTATATTTCATAGTAGAAACCGTCAGGTAAGTCAGACACGTAGAAAACGAAATTTGTCCGATAAAACTAACGATCTCATTTATAAACGTGTAAGCTTCAAAATATCGCATGTTCTTATCACTCTTGAATCATTTTTAGTGTGAACGAACGAGACAAAACGATCTACATTCAGCTCATTGTACGTTTATGAATAGGATAAATCTTATCCGTAACCATTGACCTTTGGTATTTTTACTTATATGATTTTTTTATTGAACAGTTTAGTGTAGTTTGAAATTCGGTATTGTATTTTTTTGAATGTTGGGTCTGCCAGAATCTGGAAAGTACAGCTTTTAGCAGTAAGTCTGGCTATTTACATAGTTTGTCATTATTTATTAAATCTCGTTATTATGAAGTAAATAAAATGTTATTTTTTTTAATATTATCTAATTTATAAAAATATTCACAAAGACAAACTAGCCATAAGTCCAGTCATTTTAATTATAAATGTTGTTTTTTAGTATTAATTGTAATTCATGTAATTAAGATGAAACGAAAAATTAATGACTCGGCATATGGCGTATGTTTGTCGTGCTTTCTGCCAAATTCCAATAAAAGTAGGTTTCGGGTTTTTTTTAATTTTACCTTTTGAATGAATTCGTTTGTTAGTGATTTATTTGAACTTAAAATAAAGCATAATTTGTCCCACCGTGAACATCAAACAATTCGACCAAGTCTTGTAACTAGTCGAGCAAATGTTGAACACAAACACTTCTGTTCTTGATGCCCAATAGCTCGATGTTATATTAAATCACGTTTTGTAATCAAACTATCTTCAATCCTTCAATTGTTTTTTGGCTATTTACTTTTATTTAGCTAGAATTATATTTTATTTTATTTTATGGATTATCGTACCATTGTGGTCTTTAAATAATTCTTTTTACAATTGACATTGTTTTTCAGAGTAAATTTAAATATTTTTAGCGATAAGGCCGTCCGTCCGTTGCCCTGATTTGCATCGAAATCTCAAATAAATAAACAAATCTATCTTCACATTGATCTTTCAATAAATAGGGAAACATAATTGAGAGGCATTACGTGCCCTAAAAATTATTTCTAAAGTTCCATAACTGCTAATTGGGCTTGGGGTAAATATCAGCGTGTGCCTTTTAATGGGAAACAATTGTATAAACGTAGCACCTAGATATTTCAGGTTTACTAAAGACAACGAGCAAAGTATGAAGGCTTAAGTTTATAAACTTGATTCATTTTTTTTTATTTAGATATAACGCCATAAGTTTTGATAACAATTATAAATATCTTAACTGTTCTTATTATTATGACATTATAATTATTAATATGACATTTGCATGCGTATTTTTTATAAGGCTGATTGTGTGTGTATCTGAATTTGCACCTTGTAATGATTATCCTAAACCACTTTCTTAAAAACATAATTTTATAAATTAAACTTATAAAAAAAAATTATAAACAAATAATAAAAAATGAGGAGAAATTATTGTCTAATCCCGTAACAAAAGGACAGCTGCCCACGACACAGGGAATCCTAGTGTACTTTCTTTTTACATAAATATTTTTGTTACGTATAAGAAATAATTTTCTTATTTTCTTTCTCCTTAGCCGCGCACCATCACTATGTGGAACCAGCTGCCCACTGAAGTATTTCCGAACCAATTCGACTTAGGGTCCTTCAAGAAAACAGCGTACCAATTCTTAAAAGGCCGGCAGCGCGCTTGCGAGTCTGCTGGCAGTGTCCATGGGCGGCGGTATCACTTAACATCGGGTGAGCCTCCTGCCCGTCTGCCTCCTGTAACATTAAAAGAAAAATTAAAATAAATATATTTACATATCTAGTAAGGAAAGATTTATGGGTAATGTAAACTAAGGTGCAAAAACGTATTAATAAACGAAGCCGTAGTTACTAGCTAGTTTTATAATAAAGCTTCTCAGACCTTATAGCGTGTAAATTGATTGCGTCTGTCTAGTTTCAGACTAACAATGTCTATATCCAGACCATTTCGTATAAATTGAATGTAAGGGACAAGGGTACAAATGAGGTCGTGGGCGAAAATTGATCATTACAGACAGTTTGTGACTAATGTTTGCTCAGTGTTAAGAAGATTATTTATTTTCCTTTAGAATAAGTTAGGAAAATAAAGCTAGAATTAGGGTAAGATTTTCAATCGAGGCTATAATGGCAATACGTTTTTGACATATTGAAGTCTTTGCTTTTCAACTCTGAATCTAAAAGTATATACATGTGTCATCGTAAAATTGTAAACACCGTTCGATTGTAATCTATCTCGCGATATTGTGAACTGTCGAAAGATTGTGAACTCAACGTACTGCTTACAATTTAACGTATTATTATTCGGTAGATTGTAATCTATCGAAGTGAAACATGTGTGTGTTTAAAAGCAAAAATAAGATAAATAGCCATCAATATTATTATACTTACGTTAGATAGATAGTAACATTCTCAAGACCGTCAATGAACTGTTATATAAAGAAATGTTTAAGTAATTCCAGTGAAAATTATTTCATAAATATATACCCACTATTATGGATGTTAATGTATAGGGTGAGCAGAGTTCGCGCTAATTATGTTAGTAATAGGTCTTTTTAACTGGGAATCAAACGAGCAAGGTAAAGTGATGAACCGCGGTACCCATGGACACCTACAACTGGATTGTAAGTGCGTTGCCGGTCTTTATCTGGTTAGGCCTGTTAACCTACTTCAATCTAAAAGAATATTGACTGTTCAGAATCCGTCACAAATTGTATTCATTTATTTTTAAAGGTTTTTATTTTCTTTTCAGTATCGACGACAACTTACATTTAGTAACATGCCAGGCAAAAGCCAGTTCACCAAACAAGATGACCGATTAAGTGTAAACCTCAAGAAGAGAGACGCTAGACAGATGCTGGAGATGGATAATCTAGATGCTGCCTTGCTGTTGACAACAATACTCAGATATAAGTTACCTACACAAGAGAAAGAAAGATAATGTTGTTGTATAAATAAAAAGTAATATATTTCTGAACATGTAGATTTATTTAGAAGAACAACGTGACACAGTATTTAACAAAAGTAAAAAGAAAATTGCCACCTTCAAAAGTAGTGTTGCCAACTTAATTTATATTACACTAGCAGACCGGCCAAGCCTTGCTGTGGCTAAGGTTTTTGTTATATTACATAGTAGTAAACTATTCAAAGGAAACGGTAGGAGAACTTATGTAAAAGGTAGATAGCTTATGTGAAACGTTGGTACTTTCAACACAGCGCCATCTGTTAGAATTGTGACTATCAAATAATAAACAAATATTTTACAATAAAATAATATTGCGGTTATAAATTAAGATGTAAGCTATCCTATCTTTTAAGTTGGATCAATCTACACACGGTGTGCAAATTTGATTGATATCGGTTCGGTAGTTTAGGAGTCCATAGCGGACAAACAACGTGACACGTAATTTATATATATATATTAAGATGTCTATTACAGACTATGGCGAACAGATAAAACGTAAGAAAGGGTAGTAAATAATATTTTTAAATTAAAAATAAAATTCTTTTACATTTTTACATATTTATATGACAATATGCGGTTTTTCCTGGCTTTACGAATTACGTATTTAACAAACTACACCCTGTTAACATATGTGGTTAAATAAAACTGAATAGCTGACTGAGGTTTGGCTTTTCACACGTTTGCCTTTTGATTTGTACTGCTGTTTGAAAGGAATGTTTTCATACATGAATTTTAAATTACACGGTTACGTCCTAGAAAAGTTCCAAGGTTGAAGCTAAAAGTACAAGGTATAGTTAAAAGTATGTACGCGTATTTTTATACGCCTATAAATCATATGCGTAATCAATTCTTTTTTTTTTTTTCTGTGTAAGATATTTAAACGTGTATTTCAAAATAATTTTGTTAAACAGTTTCAGAAAACTATTCAATAATAATTATTAATACAGACTTAATATACCTATTTAATTAAAAATAAGACTGTCCGTTGAAAATTCCTTCAATGGAATATTTATACCGTGTTGACACGTTACATTACCGTATTTGTACTACAACGAAAAAAAAACGTGTGGCACTCGGGGACTGCCGGGTAAAGCTATTGCGTAGCATTTTTTATAATCTAATGCACTATAATTATTTATTTATATATTTTTTTCTTTGATATTAATTTTCTTGAATATTCTTTCACTCTACCAGACTCAGACTAACACGCCTATCCGATCACGCCAAACCGATGTGAGACGCAGTATGCGTTCTGTCCCGCTCTAACGCTAACTATTGGCCGCACCTATATTACGTCATCGTGTGATAGGTTTATTTCGTTACGGAATTTCTTGATTCAGTCGCCGCGCTCAAAGCCCGCGATAAAATCTATTCAATAGCTTAAAACTACTGTTATTATGAATACTACCATAATTATACTATTATTTAATTAATATATTCATCACTCCCTCAGTATATTAAATAACAAACAATTCGTGAATTATTATTGGTTAACATAGATCGGATTATTTTGCTCTGAATTATACATGAGTGTTAAACAATCTCAAATTCTGCACAATTTAACATTCACGGTTCGCCACCGCAATTTTATTATTTACAAAGCTTTATTAGCTCCTAAAGCTGTTATGTACAAAGCCTATATGATTTATATGTGTATTACTTTGATTTAAATTTATTAGCAATATATTACATCAATTGTAAATATTGTATCAAAGTGTAATATCGTTACAGTCGTCATTTTAACATCATTATTCATCCACAGTACAAAAGCATAGATTGTCATTTTCTCTTTAAATAAAAACACAGGTGCTACTCTCAAAAAATCAACGGTATAAATCACCATCAATTATGTACGAAATTAGTATCCTCATGTTAATATACTACGGATTTAGTATCCTTAATATAATCGTAAACAATTTATAACTTAAGGGACGGTACTTCAAGCTGCGAGAATGTATATTGGTAAAATATTAGGCAATCATTCTTCGGAGACATTATATGTGGAGCGCATACATCAAACTTATGAAATATTCGTTACCCAATGCATTTTTAAACATTGCAAAAGTATGACCTGTATTTTTTTAATAAAATTACTTTAATATAATATAAGTAATTACTAATTTCCATGTTTAATAATAAAGTACATAGAACGTCCATATAATTATTTGTAATAATATTTCAATTTTTTCGAGTGATTTTGAGTGTGTTTTGAATTTGACAAAATATCAATGGTAAGCGATTTTATATTTATTTATAGGTTTAATATACAACTTAGGTAAATTAATTAGTTTGATTTTTGTATAAAATAAATTTATAATGCACAGTTTTCTCATTAGTAAAACGGATGTATTTTAATCGGTGGGCTAGAAATTATAGATTATAGCGGTCATAAAAATTTTCGTTACAAATTTTGTAGTAGGATTTTTATTTAGCCTGAAAACAGGCTATAGTTTCGGCGGTTACCACTTCATCAGTGCAAAATTTCTGTCCAGCGGGCATTCTCTTGAGGTCTGAGAACATTTAGCTATACGGGACATAAGCAGTCTGTGTAGTATAATGAAAGTCACAACCGAATTAAACTGACTAAATTGATGACGGGAATAAGATATACCTAGGCGTAACGGTGGAAGCTCTAAGACAAATGTTTAAAAAATATTAATCTGTATATATCTGCATCAACTTACGTACAACGGAACTTATTGAACGTCTAAGTGCGGAAATTGAGTCCACCATACTGCATCAAACACAAAGAGAAAAGAGTAGGAGACGGAGCTTTTGCATAGAAATAAAAAGTTTTCTAAATAGTCTCACTACTAATTATCCATTGGAACAGCCGTCAGCCACATTGAATAAACTATACAACTCATTTGTAAAGATTTATTTTTGTCAAACATCTGTAATTAATTTAAGACAGAATAGTAGTTGAAAAAACTCTAAGATCACCGCATTTTACATGCTACTACGTACTATCGCGTTCTGTAAAAACAGCTAACGCTATCGATTAAAAAGTGTAATTATAACAGTAACGATGCAGGGATTACGGGGCGTGTGAAAATCAAATTAAAAGGCGACGTAAAAACTTTCAGATGAATAAATGCATGCTGTGAGATGAGACGTCTGCGTCTGACGGGAATGGTTTTAACCCGGAATTTGGATTAATATTTTGCAAGCGAGTTTTTTCCTATCACTAGGCAACTGATTATTAATAAAAACCTGCGTTACTGGCTGATTATCTAATTGTTTAAGAAAAATGTTTAAGTGATACAAATGAACCTCTTAAATACAGTTAATGTATCGTATACAGAATACATAAAACCATTGATAATGCAGTAAACAAACATAGTCTGCAAGTTTCATGTCCAACATAGGCCAATTTCATGTAGCACAGATGCACAAAAAAGAAGAAGAACAATAAAAACAATAATTAACCTTAAAATATAATAACTAAAATATATTATTAAAAGGAGTCCCTTTAGGCAAGGTTCCGAAGATACTGGCAGCGTTCCTTCTTTGAATTTTTTTTGTCCGAGGTAGCTGCCAGCTCTTCGGTTTCCTGTGATGTCGACTAACCTTTTTGATATTTCCTAGAAAAAAAAAGAAATATCAAAAAGGTTAGCCGACAGCACTGATTACATTATTTACATATTATGACGTTTCGAATCCTTTACAGTAATCGTAATCAGTGAGAGACCATACAAATATGAATTTCTATACATTTATAAAGTTTTCAATTGTTCTGTTAAAGAGTGTAGTAACCTCAAAACTAATGTATTGATAAGTTATTATTAAAGTTTTAATAACATTTGTTCACACTCATATTATATACAATATTAATTTTAAAATTAAATCCTGTTTTGTTAGGATTTAGCTAACAGTATATTCTTATTTAAGTAATGTGGTGTGAATACTCATAGTAGCGAAACTTTCGTGTTAATAATGTATTAATTTCTGTTCCCTTGTTATGTCAAAATCACGCAACTCTGTCCATTAATATTGACGGGTGATCCTTCAATGCCAGGGCACAGATAATATCAGATCTCGATTTCAAATACAGGTTAAGAGTACTCAACTCTGAGTGGCGAATATTACTTTTTATGTTTGCTGATCTCTGGTTACATGAGGGGCTGGGAGTAAATTCCACGACGTAGAGGTTGTCAAATATTTTCTTTATAATACAGTTACTCGTAGAATACGACTTAGATTTTTTGATAATGAGGCAGAACAGACGTCGCTGAGAGCTGGCTTTAATATGCTGAGCGGAATAGAAAACAATACAAATACAATAATATAAAATTAATTACATAAAATAATAAAATAAAAATGTCTTTATTCATTTTAAGTAGATTTGCATCAATGTGTAATATTTGGCAACCTTTTTAAGTAAGAAATATCTGTGTCAGGGTTCCCAGCTCTTTCATAACAAACTTAAATATAAATTACAAAAATATATTTAAACTAGTGGACCCCACAGACGTTGTCCTGCATGATATTTAAAGCGGTTAGGATATTAAGCAAAGTATGAAAGTACCGACTGCAGTGCCATCTACCGGGCTGATTTGTGAATCTAAACCATTCCCAGATCCCCTTGAACACACACAAAAAATTTCATCAAAATCGGTCCAGTCGTTTGAGAGAAGTTCAGTGACATACACACTCACAGAAGAATTATATATATAAAGATATAATCTAATTGCATCTATTACATTTTTTACTTTTCAACTGTTATCAACACGCCTGAGTGCATAAGTGTTTCTCTTTTTTCCTTCGGTCTAAAAAGTTTTACTACCAAGTGCGCTATGATACTGGCTACTTACTTTTTAACAAATGAACTATAGATCGTCCAATTAAATAGATCACATTTTACATCTGTCCGGCTTCATAAGTAAACTAATGTTTTTCAATCCAATTTAGGTAAATAGTAAATAGGTACAGTCGCTGTATGCATTTAGATTTGAAAATGATTATTCTATTTAGTT